GACCCGACTTACCAAGGAATGGTTATGCCGGTGTTGGGAGTAACAGAGAAAGGGTAGTTTGGGGAGCGAGAGAATTATGACATCAAAGAGCAAATAATGTTAAAAGGGAAAAAAGGCACTGTAATTAAATTACAGCTCAAAAGAAAGAGGGCAGGAGTCCTGTGGGCAGATGCAGAACAGGAGGGGACGCAGAGACCAAATCAGGACACGGAATGCATGGCTGGGTGGGACACTCAGGGCCTGGGCAGGGAGGGACATGCCCTTCGCAGGTAATCTGGGCTGTGAAGATGCCCTCCATGCCCTTCTCGGGAAGCTCAATTGTACAAACGTGAACTGACCCCTTGGGGATCTTGTCTGTCCTGGGTTAGGACCCCCTCTCCCACCCACAACTGCCTGGGAGGGCAAAGCAGGGAGTCCTCAGCGTCTGGAGCTGGCAAGATGGTGGGGAGAAGATAGTTGATGACTCTGATGACTCCAGACTCTGGGTACTGGATGTGGGCAGTGGGCAGAGGCTCGGATGGGGATGTGGAGGTTCAAGTGGGAGGTATGAGGGGTATAGTCTCCTCTTCTTAGTCATCTTTGAAAAGTCACACAGCCCCCCGCCCCCGCCACATTACATCTAATTAATAGCCAGAGGGATTCTGTTAAAATCTGAGTGAGAATGGGTCCCACCTCTGCTCTAAAGTCTCCCATGGCTTCCACCTCTTTCGGAGTCTGAGCCAGAGTGCACTTAAAGATCTGGTGCCTCTCACCTTAAGACAGACGCATACAGATGACTAAGGCCGAGTGCCACCGGCTGGGGGCTCCAAGCCTGACCCAGGCTTTGGGGGTGGTCAGGGAGGGCTTCCGAACTCCCTGAGGATCTGGGAGGAGTTAATCAGGCAAAAACACATGGAACTCAGGCAGCGGGAACAGCAAGTGCGAACACGCCAAGGTGTGGATGACTGGGCAGTGTGTTGGCTGGGGGAGAGGTGGGCAGGGGCCAGAGAGCAGAGGGACTCGCTGGCCTTGGGTTTCTGCCAAGGGGTTTCTCCATCCTACACCGCCTTCCTGGGCCTGCATTCCATGCCTTCTCCATTCTCTCCCTGACTCAGATACAGACTTGGGCACTAGACAGATATCAGTCCTCTCCTCTCTGAGCCTCAGTTTCCTCCTCTGTAAACAGGGCATGAAAAGAGAACTCCCCGATAGAAATACTATGAAGAACACATGCGGTCATCATGAGAAAGGGTGCAGCACCTCGTAGGCATGCGGTAAGCCACCCCAGGAGACTTCTCTAACCAAGGCAGGCCCGCCTTCAGTGCCAAACCTGACTGCTTGTGAACTGACAACAGTGGACAACTGAGTCTCAGTGCTCTCTCCTCCCCTGGGCGTCAGAGGCCGTCAGCCCCCTTGGTCCCCACACTGCTGTGTTTTAATCGGACCCAGGTGAATGTCTGTTCCAACTCACCCAAAGAGTTTGCTATCACGCGGGCCATATTGCTTTCATGATGCAAGAAGAAGAAAGCAGAGAAACAACATCTAGCCGCGGCCCTGCCGTCTTCCTGGCTGGGCCACTGCACACACTCCGTAGAAAAGTTTCACCTCTGGTTTAGCATAACAAAACTTTTAATTTAGATGTTTTCATCTCTCTCTCCAAGTAAAAATAAGTTTAAAATAATGACTGTAATAAATGAAGGTAATTAATTGTAGTTTGTTCCTTTACTGTCTAGTCAGCTTAATTTTACCTTTTCAACTAATAATGAGAAAATAATTTTTGTGCTTGGAGGGTTAATGATATGTAACTGCGAGAACTGCTAATTGCATGTTGCAATCCATCCATCAACAACCCCATCTGTGCGACTTGATTATGTTTGCTAAATTATTGCTTTGAATTATCTTTCATAAAGCAACTTTTGTAATTAGCGGGGCTTTCGTCTTGCTCTTTTCTCTGTGAGCAAGGATATTCAAACTTTGGCCATTTCAAGCTGTCTCCATTAAGCCACCTTCTCTGGCTGTCTTTGTTTCCCCGAGCAGGGGAATCAAGGCTGGCCTTTAAGCAATCAAGGCGGAGAGGAAAAGCTTCCTTGATTCACAGCAGGGCAAATTCACTTCCTCTCCGCCTCCCTCCCACCAGCATGCGCGCGTGCATACACACACACACTCACTCACACACACACACACACACACACACACACACAGACTAAAAAAAAAGGAGAGAGAGAGAGAAAGAAAAGAAAAAAAAGACCCCCCTACTCACTTATATACTATGAAAAGATAAAAAGGATGCCCAGATTTTGTATACACCACAGCCGGTAGAATGAAATTAAGGGATGAACTTGAACGTGTTGTATTTCAATAAGAGGCCAGCACTGGGGAAGAAGGAATGACGGTATAATATTCAGCCCTGGCGTTTTATGGGCTAGTTTATGTGACTAGGGAAGGTGTTTGCCTCGGGGAATATTCCTGGGAGGTGATTAATGTCCACTTGGGAATCCTCCGCTCGGAGCCCAGAGACTGGTGGATCACGAGAGGGAAGCACATGAAAGATGAACCCTCATTAAAAAAATTAAAATGAAAATCAAATTTGGATTATGAACGACCTGTGTGCATGTGTAGTTTGTTCTGGATGAAGAAGATGCTTTTTATTAACACCTTTCTTTGGCGGTGTGTCTCCCCTGAGGCCTGGGGAGGAACCTGGCTGCTGCAATGGATTAGTCAATAGATCACGAGGAAAGCAGGGGCTTCGGGAATAAAACTCCAGACAAATGTAGTCTTTTTGGTACATTAAAGGGACAGTGAAAGCCATCTTAAGAAAATTAATGAATTTCTTTGAAGATCCCCAGCTATTACAACAGTGTCTATTCAACATGCTGAATGAGTTTGGAAATGAGAATTCAGCTTTGTCTCTCCTTTTGGTCCCAAGACTTTCTCTCCCACAATACTTACTGAGTACCAACTGTGTGCCAGACACTGTCAACATGTCAACTGCCTCTACTTGGTTTTTAAATCCTTACTGTCAGCCACGTTTGACAAAGAAGGAAAGCTGTAGCCCTGAGAGGTTAAGAAACTTCCCCCAGGCCACACAGCCAGTGTGAGCAGCAGGGCTGAGACTAAAGCCAGACCTATCGAAGTCCTATTTGCATGTGCTTCCCACCATCCTGCATTTGGATCTTTGGATCATCAACCAAACCTAATATTTAACTCTTTCGCCTATTGAAAAGATAACATAAGTCATGCCTATTTCCTACAGGGACAGAAAGGCTCCTTCTTTTGGATAAAAAGCCTTGAGCACCTAAGAAAGAGGCAGATTCCAGCCCTGGTATAGTAAAGGCTAAATAAACCTATATTGGAGGTCATGGATAATAGGAATAATAAAACAATCAAGACTTCTAATACTCAAGGCAATGTTCAAAACACTCCATGGCTATTAACTTTGTCCATCCTCAATCACAACCCTATGAAGTAGGTATAATTATTATCTAATTTTACAGAGTTTGAAACAGAAGCACAGAGAGGTCAAGCAAATTGCCTAAGGTCAGACAGCTAGTAACTGGCAGGGGCAGGATTCCCGACTGACTCTGGAGTCTGTGCTCTTCACTTCCTAGCAGCTCTCTATGTGCCAGGCACTATATTAAATCTTTTCCCTGCACAGTGTCTCAGTTCATTCTCAAAACAACATGAAAAGAAAACTACAGTATTGTTATTCCCGTTTCACAGACAGGGAGATTGAGGCTCTAAGCGACCAAGAGAAGCTCCACCACACCAACCCAAGCGATGGAACAGCTGAAAGGTGAGGCTCTATACAAAAATCTCAATGTCTCTCTTTGGGCTGAGCACAGGGATCAGCTGCCTGAGAGGGCTTGTGTGCTGAATACCCCTCATGGGACCAGGAGTTGGCAGATGGGGACTGCTTTTTAAAAAAAACACAAAGCTATGACAACACATTCCCAACATTATTAGTCTTCTTTCTGTCCCCCCACTCCCACCCCACCCCTTCCAGCTCAGGCACCTCACAACCAAATGAATCAATACTGAATGGCCCTATAAATAAATAAGCACATCAGTCAACTCAGTAATAAAATGAAGGGATGAAAAATATGGAAATCAGCGACATTTGTGTAAATCCAGTTATTGTTTACTTTAATATTGCCTTATGAGCTTATGCAGTTCCAGAGAGACAGATTTAAAGTAATGTGGCGCTTGGCGGATGACAGACTTAAAATGCATCTCTGTTGGCAAGCTCTGAGAAGAGACAATCCTTCCGAGGTCCTGCTTGAGTGTACGGGAAGACCGAGAAGAGCCCCGTGAAGATGGAGCATGTGAGAAATGGCCTCCCCTTCCGCTCCCCTGCCTAGTGTTATTCCATTCTTTCCTTAGCCTACCTCCTGCATCAGCCAGATAAAGGGACATTCTCAGAATCCTGGCCACAAAGTCAATCCAGAAAGAGAAACAGGGGAGGTCCAGCCCCATCCCAGGGCTCCAGGAAGGCAAGAGAAACCGACTGAGGACAGTTCAGCTGCTGCCAAAGGCAAGAGAGCCCAATGGGTGGGCAGGAAAGAATGTGAACAATGCTGACTTCATACTCGGTGGGTGGGCTGGTAGAGAGGATTTCAGGACAGGCTGGTAAGCGGACTTATCTACAAGGCTACCTTAGAGAATCAAAAGCAGAGCAGAATGCCAGGGGAGAGCAAAGGTTACTGAGTACACACCTCCTAAAATGAGAAGCTAGCCTGGAAGGTGAGGAGGTTTGTTCAAGGTTACAGATATCATATGTAGCAGAGCCGGTATAAGGCGAGGCAATGTCTAGGAAGAGGGGGGTTTCTTGGGATTAGACGTTGGAATCCCATCAAACACAACAGAGAACCCACTCTTATCACACCACCACTGGCTGATCTAGAGGGAATGGGGTAGAAAAGTTTCTTCCAAAACTTCCAGAGGCTGCTGGCCTCCTCTGGCAACTCCAGGCGGGACAGGAGAGAGAACTGGGTTTGGGATGTGCCATGGGCCTTGGGTCTTACCTCAGCTTGGAAGCTTTTTAATACAGGTGCCACCATCTCTCTGATTTCCTGAAAAAGAGATCAGTGAAGAGTTCACCACGGTTCCGGGTGGGTCATCCATGGCCCCTGACTGCAGCTCACTGTTGTTCCCCAGGTCAGCATTTCCCATGTGTCCTGTGGACCTGTGCTCAATGGAATTTTGTAAGGGTTCCTCATATATACACCTACACACAGACACACACACACAAGGGGACAGACACATCAAGTCCAACATCAAGTTTCTTCATTGCAGGACTTTTTGGAGCCTTTAATATTACACACACTGGGAATTTCTGGAGGAGGGAAAGGAGGCAGCATTTCCCAAATGGGTTTCAGTGCCCACGCCGCTGGTGGTCCACGATGGAATACTCTTTGGAGTGGGGACTGGAGAGGTGACCCCAGTTCTCCACACCCAGGGTCACGTCACCAAAGTCCCTTCATGAAAACCTTCCACCCTTCAGGTGTTGCTCAGGGGCCGACTCCTTCAGGTCGCCACCGCTGCTTCTCACCAGCATTATAGCAACATCACCGTTAGTCTCTCCTGCCTCACCAGAATGTGCAGTTTCTGGCAACTTGGCTGGGTCACCCCTCACAGTGTCCATCTCAGAGGAAGAGCCCTGTAAAGGTCTGTCCTGAAATCCTCTATGACACTGGACTGTCTTCAGACGGGAGCCTCCTATTTCTGGACCTTACTCCCTTGCTTTGCATAGGTGATCTTGAGGTTCCCAGTTTCTGGTGGATTCCCATGAGTTCCCCCAGCATGCAAGAGAGAGGCTTTTAGAACTCAACACCCCAAGATCCCAACCCTAAATGCTTCAGTTTCCTCTGAGACCCACTGGTGCCTCACTCGACTGCGGTCAGCCATGGCCCACAAGAAGCTCCCATGGAAGGAGGAGCTGGGGGTGCTGGAGAGCACGGGGAAGGAAGGGGCAGCAGAGAGAAGCAGGAAAGACAGAGATGGGCAGAAGAATACCTATATTCAGATAAAGAATAAGGTTATGTTGCTTCTGCCCTGGAAAAAAATCCCACTTCTGGGCCCTGGGTGCCCCTCCTCACTGACTGACGTGTCCCCTAGGGCTGCTCAGAGCTGTTGAGATTCAGATGTATGTCAGAGACCTTCAGAAGGGACTTAGGGAGTGCATGTGAACCTAGTAGATTTGATCACAAGAAACCACAGGTACATGGGCTGAGCAATGGAAAAGTAAATGTAGGTCAAAAGTCACGGCCGTCAGAGGCCGGGGGAAGTGGACAGAAGGAAGGCAGCTGGGAGGTCCCATGGCAAACCTCGGGAAGGGACACAAGTCTAACGGGGGTGACAGCTGCTCAGCTCTGTGTGGTGACTGCCATGTGGGCATGGAGCCTCCATGTGGCCAGGTCTACCTAGTAGTCTCAAAGACGCTGGAAATCAGGTTTTTGGTTAAAATCTGAGATACTAAACATTGTCAACTTACTATAACACTTAAGACTTTATAGACCAAATAAAACATCTGGGCAGCAAATTTTCAGTTCAGGAAATGTCAGTGCCCAAAGTGACTCAGGAACCAACCCTCCAGTTCCCTGAATTTACAGAAAGGGAGACTGAGGCCCTGAGCAGGCTGGCTTGCTTGTCAAGGACCTTCAGGAATGGGTGGCATGGATGGCATCTGATGCAGGTCAACAGATTCCCCGGAGTCTCTTCTCACAACCCCACACTCAAGGGAGTTCAGGGGATTCAAGTCTGAGGCTCCATGAGGAGGGGGCTAGCCGGACTTTGGGCCAATGCCCTGTCTGCTTAACCCCTGGGGAAGATGAGCAAAGGCACCAGCAGGGCGGGAGCTGGGCACCACCCAGATGATGTTCTTATTTAAATAAAGCCTTGGCATGACTTTCCCCACCAGGAGCGACTAGTTCCAAAAATGAAAAATTTCAAAGGCACGACTATAATAGGAATGGAAACTTACTCCTCCTAATTACATAATTGCATAATTATGCAGTATTAAAATTATGTAAGCTGAACTCGAGGCTTAAAACCCGGCCTGGATGTCCTTCCTCACCTGGGCCTGGGGAGGGGGAATGAGATGGAAGGCTGTGAGGATCCGGGGTCTTTCATCTCTGCTTCCCGGAGACTGGGGAGTCAGAGGCAAAGCTTCTGGGACTTGTTCTGGGCTGAAAAATCAGTTTAAAGACCAAGCTATTCTTTGGTCTTGGAGAGAAGGGCAAGTTGCTGAGTATTACCATTCTTAGCTCCTGGAGGCAAACCAAGGATCTGATCTGGCCTTTCCGAAGCCACGACATGGGAAACAAATCTGAAATTCCTGCCCGTCTCTGAGCGCACTTCTCCTCGGCTCTCAAACCTGATTCCTTCCAGACTTGCTCCGTGATCAAGTTCTAGCTAGAGCCTACTTCCCTCTGTTGCCTTGAAGAACCAAAGATAGTCCTGACTTGTGTGAGGAGGATTTCACAGCTAAGGGACTGTCCCCCTTGCCCATGTGGCCTGATTCCTGGATAGGCCTGCCTCTCCTCCATCTTTCCAGCAGCAAAATGGCAACAGAACGCCTGGAAGATTCCAACAGGCAGGGTGGAATCAACATCTCCAGGTCGGATACCTCCAGAATGCTGGATCCTGCTCCATCCTCCTCCAACAGGCTACCTGAGTAGGTATGGACAGACAACTCAAGTAACCTCTGCTGACAGTAGGCTTTGGGGTGGCCAGGGGTCTTTGTTTCTGAGGTGCCACACAACTGCCAACATTATGTGGAGTCAGAAGGCTTTACTTTTCCTATTTATGTTCACTTTATCATGTTAAAAAAATTGAGAAGCAACAGGGGACCTGAGAGAAGAGGGAAAGGAATTCACACATTTGTCCCTGTAAAGAACAGAAACAAGTCCTTTCAAGTCTCTTCTCTTGGGGGTGGAGGGTGGGCTTTTATCATTGTGCCTGGAGCTGGTCATTATCTGGACCACCCTCATGGCAGCTGAGAAAGACAGAGCTGGTGGCTGGAGCTGTAAAGAAGGGGGTGGAGGGAAGAATGAGGCATGTATATGGAGGGTGGGAGGCAGTTTCAGAGATGGAGGAAGGACCAGAGGGGGTGGCTGTAGCTGTCATCTCTCAACACCAATGAAAAAGCAAAATAAAATCAAGAACCCGAGACAGATTGCTTTTGTCACCAAGGCCAAGCATTTGACTTGGATATGAATGTGGGGGAAAATGGGTGTTTCATAAGCCCTAAGAAACAACGACTTCAGTGGAGAGCATCCTGCCCTTGCTTCAGACAGCACTGCTGAGCACCACTACACCAAGAAACCCTGAAAGGTTGGGGGCTGTAATTTTTCTTTGGGGCTAATTAGCTTTTTTCTTGTTAGTCACTTATGTCTACAGTTTTCAAAATATAGTTTGAACAGAGAAAAATCTGCATTCCTACTGAGTTAATTCTATAACAGCAAATATACTGTACCTCAGGTACATTTTTCTTAAATTCCCGGCGGAGTTCAATTAAATGTTTATGAGAATGTTCACTCTCCTCCTGCCGTGCAGACAGCTCAGAAGCGACGGAATTAAGCTCCTTCTGGAACAATAAAAAGAGAGAGAGAGAGAGAGAAAAGAAAAAGATTTTTTTTCCTCCTTTTCCTTTTTAATCATCACACAAAACAGCATTACGAACAAGTTTTCTTAACTTACGAAGCTGAGAAAAGACAGGATATTGACTCCTGGCACAAATGAATAATTTACGAAACTTGGGAATCAACCGAAAAAAATCCAGGATGGCTTTTTTTGCTGGTTGGAAGTCGGGCCAGATCAATAATCTCCTATAAAGTTGGGTGGAGTTGTTTTTTTCATCTCTTCCCCACCCCCCTGCCCCACCTCTTAAATTTCCAAACGAGTGATGACATAAGCTTGTCAGTAACTGTAGAAAACATCTCCAAACCGTGTCAAAATAGTAAAGTGCGGCATATTGTATGGGCATATTATAGCTTAAGAAAGTGCTGTCGACAGCTTTCATATATCAGAGGTGGGAACTGTTCCAATTATGACTTACTTACACTTAAGGGTTCATAAATACGCCTTTTAAAATATAGATGGCTTTTTAATTTCAGTAGATTTTAGAAAAATGAAGGTGCCAATAAGAAGCAAGCTGACCTTTTGTGTATCCTGCAGTAAATCATTTAAGGTTCACTTCAAGTGTAAGAAATATTTCATTGAAGACTCCTGGATTCAGAAGAAATGGATTAGAAGGAGCCTTGCTTAGGTGCAATGAAGGCGCCAGAACAGGTTTTTACAGGACATACCATCGAGGGGAAAAAAGAGAGTGAAGGATGGAGTGGCCGACGCTCCACCTCACAAATGTCACAGACAATGTCTGCTGGTTGTACGTGTATATTTGATCACCCCTCTTGTAGCTTTCTTCACTTTAACGGTGGCAGTTTCACAAGGGAGTACAATTCACCATGAGTTGTCATGGATTTCATTTGCATAATTCAAGAAACACTCTGTTTATGTGGTCTGCTGCTTTCTTGCACCATCCCAAGATGGGTTTTTTTTCTGGACCATAACTCGAGGAGCACTTCTGTATTTATCACCCGATTATATCTGCAGCAATCAAGCCCTATAATTTCCTAAATCCGGTGATGCAATAAATTTCTGCAATCAGATTTATTAAAAACACACACGCAGATGCGAGAGTGTATTTCTAGGGTGAACTCTTTAATCTAACATATGTATGATGAGGCCCGGCACCGTGTTGAAAGACCCCATTTGTCATTGCTAATACGCATTCATCTTGCACACACAATGAAACACTTTTACCATTAGATAATGAAATAAAAGTACTATTAACCCGCTGCAAATCCTTTTCTCTCTAAGAGACAAAATGCATGGTAATTGTCTTATATCATGTCTGAGAGTCGGTAAATCTGCTCAATAACAGTTCACCATAGCACCATAAACCTCATACCCATCAGAGAAGCAAGAAAGCCTACCCCAAATCCAAAATAAGTGTTTCTGCCCATGGAGCCTTTAGGAGAAATCAGGGAGGGAATTTCTATTTTTGGAGAAATGTCTACCCTCTTTGGAGAATCGTGAGATTAGAGGGAAAAGGTGGAGGCATAAAGGTAGTGATTAAAATAGAGTGACATGGGAATCTGACCTGCAGTGCTCTCCGAGGTGCTGAAATCAAATCTGTGCCATAGTAGTGGGTACAGAAAGTTAAAGGTACAGGGACTTAGGGTAAAAATGCCCCCATGGAATTTTGAGCTAGGAGAGGAACAAGGTGTCATGGAAGAGAGAAACAGAAACCATTTCTAACAGTCTGTCAAGGTGACAGAAAAAAAAAATCAAAACAAAACGAAGAGTTTTGGTTTATCATCATTTAAGAATAATCAGTTTCTTTGCCCTGGCTGGTTTGGCTCAACAGTTAGAGCGTTGGCCTGAGGAGCAAAGAGTCCTGGGTTCGATTCTGCCCAAGGGCATGTACCTCGGTTGCAGTTTGTCCTCAGCCCTGGTTGGGGTCATGCAGGTAGCAACCAATCGATGTGTCTCTTACATCAATGTGTCTCTCACATCGATGCCCCCCCCCCACTCTGTCTGAAAATAAATGTAAAAATATCCTCGGGTGAGGATTAAAAAATAAGTTTCTGCCCTGGCTGGTTTGGTTCAGCAGTGTCAGCACAAGGACCAAAGGGTCACAGGTTTGATTTCTGGTCAAGGGCACGTACCTGGTTTGAGGATTAACAACAACAACAAAAATGATCAGTTTCCAATAAAGAAACTACAATCGACCACAACCCAAACATCAAATGATTAGGGAGAGATGTATTTGCAGCAATAGGACTAATAAAATGTAGACAAACACCAACCAGGTGGTAGAGCCAGGTGGACAGAACCTCACTTGGCAGGAGAGAAGAAACTGAAGTGTCATGGTCAATTGAGTTGTGGCAGAGTGCTCACAGGTGTTCTTAGTTTTTCTTGTCTCTCCTGAAGACAAAGATGTGATTTTTTAATTTTTAAATTTTTTTATCCTCACCCGAGGACATGTTTCCCTTTTTTGTTCAGATAGAGTGGGAGGGAGAGAGAGAGAAACATTGATGTGAAAGGGACACATCGAGTGGCTGTCACCAGCACGACCCAACCAGGGCCGGGGACAAACTGCAACCGAGGTACGTGCCCTTAGCAGGAACGAACCCGGGTCTCTAGGGACCGCAGGCCGATGCTCTAACCGCTGAGCCAAACTGGCCAGGGCCAAAGATGTGATTTTTACATCGCTGGAAGGCAATTAGAACTGGGGCTTGAGTTGACATGACTCGGTTTTGTATTATCATGTATCTGACACTATGTTCTTATCTCTGGGACACTGCCCCACCCTGCACCACAGCAACCACTGTTCCTGGTGGGGGGGCTGGACTTGGACTCCTCATTTAAAACATCCAACCCAGGCTCTGAAAGAAAATCTCAGAGCAAGATAAATCCAACTGCCTGATGAGACTACACTGGCTCCCTCCACCCACACCTCCTAGGCTGCTGGGGGGCGTGCATCTGTCTGCTGTGTCCACATTTCAGAGCAGAGGTAAGGTCAGGCTGGGGAATATCAGCAGGGCCCCAGCCCTGGCCCTACATAAGCCCAGATCTTGGTGTCATTCCCGTTTAGCCCTAGAGGAGCAGACAGTATGACTGATGTCCATGTTTTTCTCAACTTGGCCTAAATATGCTCATTCTTTTTTCTTATTTTTTGGTATGTGGCCCTAGCGGGAACCAAACCCAGGATTCTCTGGTCCGCAGGCCAATGCTCCAACCACTGAGCCAAACCGGCCAGGGCAATATGCTCATTCTTCAACCCTAAATTCTTGCTATATTTCTGAGGTATGCTCACTAGTAACAACAACAATAATAATAACTACCATTTATTGGGTGCTTACATGTAGATAGCATGGTAAGATCCTTGTATACATTATCTCAGGTAACAAACACATTGTATCTGTTAGGTGATTCAAGCAGGACAAATAAATTAGTCCATTCTAATAACTCAGGTGTGAATTATCTCCTTGGTGGATTGTAAAGGCAAACTTGCAACGGCCTCTCTGCACAGGGCTTCTACTCCACTTCCCCATTAGCTGGGGGATGTGCAGGGAGTTCATTTTGAATGCAATAAATGTGAAAAGCGTCAAGCACAGTACCAAGTGTTCAATAAATGTTGGTTGATATTAATCTTACATTTAGATAAACTGAGAGCTCAGAAAACACTCCACTAGACTAATGATTCTAACAGTTTTAGATTTCACAGGTCGGTAAAAATCTCACCAAAAAATAAAAATAAAATTGTTAAGACTGACAGAATATTGCCAAGTGTTACTGTATCAAGCAAAGGCATTAAACACCACTCTCTCCACCCTAAAAGATAGGATATCTGAACACCAACAAAGGCAAGTGGGCCAGTGCCAGAATTGACGAGTCTTTAAAATAAATACATTTAAAATAAAAAAGCTCACAACACTGTATTCTGAAGGAACAGAAAAAATGCTCATCCACGTCAACCAGAACTGGCCTGAAGTGGATTTTAGAAATGAGTGTCTGAACCACTGTGCACATGCACAGCTAGCCTCTCCTTTGATGATCAAGCAGAATTCAGGATCTTCTCCCACCCCGGCCCCCAGCCCCCAGCCCCAGGGAGCCATGATTAACACAGCCCCAGACTTTGGGCCAGGCCCAGGCGGGTGGAGACTCATCTGATTAACCGGCCATCAGCAGCAGACAGACAGCCCGGAGCCCGGCGCAGACCATTCAAATAATGATCATCATAAACAGCCCATTTGCAACTAAAAAGAAATAATTTTAATGAGCTTGAAGCAGATGATAGATGCAGCTGAGGCTCGGGCCAATGTGCAGAGAGAAAGGAAGCTGGGATTGAGCTGCACCTAGGACCAGGAGCAGTTTGACAGCCATGCTGCTAGCCCACTGTGAGCACCCCGTGCCCGGGGAATGCCCCCAGCTCACTAGGGTCTGCCACTGTCAGAACCTGGGACTTAGACCTTCAAGGCACTCAGAGTCTCAAAACGTCTGAGCCAGAAAGAACCTTTGAGTTGTCCAGTCCATCCCTGTCCAAACTTCAACCACACATACCCCTCTGCATGCATTTTGCCATGTTAATATTCCACACGAATTTCTATTTACTTAATATTAATATCTTCAAATCGACTATTTCTTTTTGATTTGAGACATGCACAGCTTTAAGTTCAATTTTAAGATAGAGTTTTCACATCCTTGTAACCAATGCCCAGATTAAGATATAGAATGTTCACACTCCTAGCAACTCAGAAGGCTCCCTCGTGCCCAGTTCTACTGAGTACTACTTAAAGGTACCATTATTCTTACCCTAGCATCAAAGATACATTTTACCTGTTCTTGGCCTTTATATAACAAACCCCTCTTTTTAAAGCCTAACTAAGTGCATTTGAAAAGAAAACGTATTTTATGACTAGAGAATCCTATGCCACAAACAGATTGTAGCTGTTAAAAGTACAATGAAAGCGAAGCATTGGTGCCTGTCGTTGTTATGAAAGAAGGCTGGTTAGCAGG